TGATAATTTGCGATTATGTATCAACATGTAGGTTGATTTATCAACAAATTTTTATAGAAAAATTACTACGCTACTGAATTCAGTGTACATCCAGACATCCTTGACCAACATTTTATATAAATATGTTTAGTAATAACATAGATGAATTCTAAAATTTGATAAACCACCAAACCTACGAATGAATAATTCAATTGTAATTTTGAATATTTGAATAACCTAATTTCAATTTCGATCTCAGTCCAAATTTGTGAAATTTTGAGATTTGGGTGCCCAATCTATCAACGAACTGTCACGTCATATTCATCGATTTGAAAATGTTCGCATAACGAACTAAACATCCATCTAACTGGACAAAGGACTGCAATCATTTATTAATTGGAGGCTCGTGAATAGTATCCCAAGTGGGTTATAAACGTAGACTTCATCATTCTTGACATCGGTAGAAATCGGTTAATAAATTAAAATTTCAGAAATTTTTCAATCTGTATAATAAAAAAACTTCAAATTGAATTCGTTTATTCGTTTAGCAAATAAGCACTTTATCATTATTGATTGCCGTGCGTATTTAAATTTCATTTACATGAACAACAATAGTTACAAATTCGGTTTTGGGTTTATTAAAATATTCGTCTATTCTCTTTAGAACTAATTGAAAATCCATTACCTCACTACAATAGTTTATAGACTAAATTTAAAGGGGTATATTTTTCAAAGTGAAAAAAAGTGTTTCCTCGTTTCATTACATTGTAATTTATTTCATCTTGAAAGTGCACAAAAATAAATTATTCAAAACAATTTTTTATCTAATGAAGAAGTTGAATATGAATTAATGAATGTATTCAAATGTATGTATTCAAATCAAGAATTTTATAAAAATGAATTTGCAATACCTTAATCTAATGGTATAAAATAAAAATTTAGATGTTTTTCAGGAGGATTTCAATATGTTCATAAAAGTTGTAAATGGCACTATTTCTTTGAACAGTTTTAATGTTTCTTTGACATGTAAATGTGTTTGTTGGTCGTTAAGGTTTTATTTAATTGCTTGGGTTAAAAAGTGATTATTCAGTCTTTGAAAAAGAAGTTTTTGTATCAGACCTTATTCGTACAACAATAACATTTTGAGGTTTATCCATTCCATCAATAATATATTCTTATTTTGTGCATTTAGAAACTTGAGTTTCTAACAACTTAACCATACCACATAGTCCCCTACGGCTCTGAGGAATGATTGATTCTCTGCAGCCCCCTACGACTCTAAAGAATGATTCTCCACAGTCACCTACGAATGCGAGGAATATATCTGATAGATCAGAGCTTCGTAAATGATACACCGAAATATATCCCGTGGGGTTAAATAAAATTATTGGACCAATTATTGGATATATTCTTCATAGTTTTTTTGTGCTCATTACCATTTTGATTAATGTTTCTCCAAATTGGATACTTTTAGGATGCAGCCAGTCTTGAATATCAGATTTCCTTGATGTTGTAGCTGGAATTTTTTCCAGTTATCAGAGTGATACGGGACATTGTCTAATACAGGGGTCTCCAAACTACGGCCCGCGGGCCAAATCCGGCCCGCCAGTCATCATCAATCTGGCCCGCGACAGCCAATGATTACCTAATTGTTGTTACTATTGCTGTGATAAGTTGAAGAAGAAAACACAGAATGATAATTACTCGGTTTTATTTACTTGCAAGGTAAAACTTAACGACAGAAATGATGACAAAGAAAACTTAACTTAAGTATCTAAGTTTAAGCATATTAATAACTAACAAATAATTGAAATGAATCACAGTAAAA